TATTTAGGTGACAAAATTTTATGATAATTTAATATTAAAAAAAGAAATTTATTTAGATATACGAATTGATTCTGCTATTAAAAAAAATTAAAAGCAAAAATTAATATCCTTAATAAAGTAAAAGATTCAATATTTAAATACAATATATATAAGAATTATTAGCACTCATATATGAATACACATATAAAAAATAGTACGCTGTTCCATGTTATGCAGATGACAACGAGAAATTAAATTAACAACTAATTCATAAAGGATCAGGAACAGCCAATAGCAGGTGGACGTTGCCGTTATCTTGAACGGGGTTGTCCAACCAAGAAATAATACAAGTGCACTAGGCAGAAGAGACCAACCTACCCCTTACTATCCGCACACCCGTCACCCGCAGATAAATCTTCCCGCCCTCTAATTGGCCTTCCCTCCATTTCCTCGGCCCATACCCTTGGTCGACCTGTTCCTTCTTCTCCTCTCCCTCACTTCCATACCTCCTTCTCTCTGTATTCCCCTTCCCTCTCCTCGTTCATTTCATCTCGGTTTCACTTCCCTACCTTCCTTCCCGGGCACGGCTCCAGGGAACGTACTCATCCTATGCGCCACCACCCTTTCCTCCCACCATTCATCTCTAAACCGGCGAATTATTAGAATTATTAGACATTATATTGGCCGCAAAATGTCCGTTAAACCGCCAGAACTCAATTGTAAATTAAGATTTCTGATAATGCCGTGAGATGTATGTGTTCCAAACTTAGCAGCTATTATTAAAGTTCTAGATTCATATATTAGTGGGATTTGTTCCCAAAATCTATCCGAAGAAGTATCAGAATGTTTTATGTATGTGTAATACATACAGTGCGCGTAAATGTAAATATAACAAAATATAAAGCAATTCTGAACCTATTGACACATGTCTGTCAATTATATAATAAATTAAGATATACTCAAACATTTTATCAAAGTGTTGATATTTTGAAACAAAATAAAAGAGAATATAGAACATATTCGTCAGGAATCCGAGAACAAGACTCAATATTAAAGCTCAATATAAAGTATGAATGTCTTGGCTAGTGTAAACAAATCTTAACGAGCACTCCCGAAACGCATGGAGATATAATTTGTGCTCGAATCGAAAATGATTCAGCACTCGTGGAAATAACAGATACTAACCGAGAGTTATGAGCGCATCGTTACGAATACGTGTAATATTTGCAGCAGCAAGAGCAACATCAGCGAGGCTTTTGCATTTCTCCTTCTCTATCCTACTCGACCGTTCTCCATTTCTCTTTCGGCCAACCAACCACCTCACAGTTCGTTTCCGTGTTGTTACATAATACACGCTGCAGCGCGGTTACGTGGATGAGGGATGAGGTGCTGCGTTGCCTAATAACCTCCCCTTTGCACAACACCCCCTCAAACCCGACTGAATCCTCCTCCAACCCCCTTGTTATACCAAGCGCACAGGATACGATGGTATTTGCGAGCGGTGCATGCAACTACGGGCAAACCACCCTGCAAGAGCACGACGATATAGAAACACCGCTAGAACATCGCTGACGAGAGAGAGAGAGAGAGAGAGAGAGAGAGAGAGAGAGAGAGAGAGAGAGAAGAGGAGATGGAGGAAGAAGAGAAGGAAGAGGAGGAGGAGAGGAAGAAGAGGAGAAACAGGAGGAGGAGAAAAGGGAGGAAGTATCTGAGGGCACCAGGTTACGGAGAGAGAAGCGTGAAGTAATTATATGAGGGCGGAGCACGCTAGGCTCATCTACACCTAACACATTCATATCAGTCGGCCCGAGCCAAGGAGCTGCTGAAACGTGAAGCTCGTACATCAGGATTTCGTTGCTGGGATAGTAGACTCCTCGAGGAGTATCGCAGAATGAGTTTTCACACAGCAAAACCTATTGCTGATTCCTTCTTATAGAATAAAAAAAAATTCTTAATATGTAGCACGTGCAAATTCATCTTTTCATTAATTTTAATATATTATAAAATGTATCGTGTTTATTCGATAACAAATAAAAATGTATTACAAGGTTTATAACAATAAAAATTATAAAAAGACTTTAAGAGAAAGACACGAACTTTATAATTGAGGATAAAAAAAACTGTGCCACTAGAAAGCCGCTTCATCGAATCAAGAAACTTGTGAATAAAATTTCTCATAATATCTAACCATCAATGAAAAATCATTGCACAGGATAGAAAAGAGCTAGGTGGAAAGATTAAAGAAGCAAAAGAAAAATGGCGCGGGAGGAGGAGAATAGTGTTATACATTTAAGTGAATACACCTATATAGAGGGACTTACTGGGATTCAATTACCGCAACGTCTGCAAAGCACGCTATTCCCACACCCTTAAAAGACTACCCCTCGCGTTGTACGCGTCCCTACCTTTCCATCTCCTCAAGAACGAACAGGTGCTCTTGTGCCTGCTGTAAATTGTTCCCCCTGTAATCCAAAGTAAAGCGGTCGTTTTATCCGCGCCATGGCGAGATGGATGCCTCGCTACGTCTTTTCACGTAATAGATTGCAGCTACGCAGCTAATGCTCTCGGTTTTGATCAAAATTATGTTTTTTACCGACTTAAGAATGAATTTTAATTCATACTTAGTCAATGTTAACGGTAAATATCTAAAAACATAGCGGTTTATATACAACAGAATGAAAAATAATGCATTCAACTAAATAAAAACATAAAAAAATTAATACGCAATATGTGAATTATTAATTAACAATATGCTATTTTGCTTTAGAACTAATAATCTAAAAACAATGTGTGAAATATATAATGTAAAATTTTAATACAAATGTTATTTTTATTTCTTTTAAATAAATTTTTATTCGATCTTAAATTTATACGACTTAGAAGTTGCATAAAATTATAATACAGTCACAGAAACAAACTCTTTGTAATAAAACATATACGTAATATCTTCAAACCTACTACTTTTTAAAATAACTGTCTTGATTTAGTACATGACTGATTAAATTGATTTCATATATATTTTTGGATAATTAAATTTCATTTTTATTTATCTTGGATAAATTTTAATATATGTTTTTAATAAATAACATTGATTTTTTTTAAATATAATTTTATTTCGCGGATTTGAGATAATAACGTTCAGTATGAAAGCACGTGCGTAATAAGATTTCTAAAACGTGATTTTCGAGGATCGGTTTCACCCTTAAGATTAAAGAACCAAGGTTCACGGAGTTATAACTAAGGATCAGAGAATAGGAAGTGTTGCGTGAGACCAATAGCAAACTTATGCCTAGATCGGTTATGTACCTTCGTTCGGTTCGAACATAGGTACATAATTCATCGGGTGTGCACCATTGTCGGGAACTTCATTAATACAAATGGCGTCTGCTGAATTCTGCCCCCAACCGCTCCCCGCTACGTGTACGATAGTAACGAGAGCTTCCGTCTGTACATGTGTATGCGATTGTGTATGCTCGTGCGTGTTAGCGCACGTATATAGGAATAGCGAACGATAGAAGCATCCACCGTGCTATGCTGAACGTGTGTGCCACCCCTGGAGACGCCGAGATACGCGGGACATATTTTTGCAGTCCTTGTCGACTTTCATGAGGGAGTCTTTCCGCAATAACATATTAATATCCCCGAGCGTCGCGAGACTTATGATTGTCCGTAGAAAGCTCAACTCTGGATCAACGTGGCGCCCGTTAAAGCGGTTCCATCCTGTACCGCGATGACACTGCCTAACGAGTGCTTTAAGTGCCGTAAAGCAAGCGCCGCACGTCCTTTACTTTCTACATCGTAATATCGTTAAGGAATTGTTAACGAAACGCGCGATAGAAAATTTTGCTCGCGTTAAAGTAATATTTTTGTTAATGATAAATAACGAGATCAAAGAATCATTCTAAGTAATATCTTATTATCGATCTAGAAAATATCATCGTATTGTTATCGTAAAAATCGATCGTACTCGCGGTGTATTTTAATAATAATCGAACATATAATTCTTAAAATTTGATTCAAAAATCGCGAAAGAGTAACAAATGACGGGATCAAGGAAAGCAGATCTGGTACGGGATAAACTGCTGCGGCCAGGGCCGCAGGCAATGAAGCGTAAGACGTGAAATTTCAAGTTTACATCGCATTTATTTTTTTAGCAATCGTATAATCAATGTAATATTACAATAGCGTTCAAAACGACAACCGTCCCGAAAAACGCCGGAATATAATCTTAGTCACAGGCAGCTAGTGCGGCCCTGGTCGCTGTCGGATTACATACAATCAGGATTCAGATTTGTAAATAGTTAGTATCCTAATATATTACAAAAAAGAAGAATTTGCCACGCGGAACATTTACACAAATAACTACCACTACGCATAGGTAACACCTATCCCTAACAGGACTATGTGCTTAATTGATAACGTATAGCACAGCAGAGCAATGAAATATTTGTTCTGAGAAATCCACAAAATAAATAACTATTAACATTACATACCTCTTAGAAATACTGCATTTACGTATTATTCTCACATCCTCTTAGCGGCTATTCGTATACATTCATTAACTAGAATAGAGTTGCTTTATAGGATAGCGCCACAAATCTCTTTAGAGCAGGCGTCTATGTACTAGATAGAATACATACATTACAATATTCGCATTTGTAATCCATCTTTTCGTCTTACTTTTCTCAGATCAATGCTGATTGGAAAAAAGAAACGTTTTCTCTTTCTCTCTTTCTCTTTTTCTCCAAAAGATCCTTTCTAAATTTATTTTAAAAGAGATATCCATCTCGAGATCGCGCACTCTTGACCGCTTTAGCAGGTACTTAAGCAGACGCACATCATAAACGTTTCTATACAACATTAACAAAATTATCGAATATCGATATATATATATTTTGTACCAATCGAAAGCATTACATTTCCATCATTAGTCTCACTTGCTGCCGGTATACGTTTTCAAATAATAATTCTAAGTAATAACGAAAAATGAAATAAAACAGTCTTTTTATAACAAATGAGCGAAAATTACTATTAGCAAAGCGAAAGTGGTAACAATATAAACGCACTCTCTCATTGCTCGCAAATAATAAAAAAATAACAAAAACATAACATTAACAGATAAAATCGGTCTAGTTTATTTCCTCTCTTTTTTTTCTCTCTCACTCTTTCTTGCGAGATTGTATCGAGTGCGCATTTTCGAGAGAAAATATATTAAGCAATGGAAAATGAGGAGAACCGTGCTAATAGCAGTTTTGTACATTGAATTATGATAAAGAGTCATGCCTCCGTTAAGTTCGTCGCGAACTAATAGTTAACATCGACTCAATCTCACCCATCGATAGAGTTAGATGCTTTTTACGTCCTATATATTAACCCTATAAATAGTTGTAGCCTTTTCGTTACGTATCTCAGTTTCTAAGTTGTGTACAACCTATCGCAATGCACATCGGGAGAATGTGACTCTGTTTTCGGTCGATTTTTCGCAAACGACACCCCGGATCCGCGGCTGATTGGCCACCCTCGATAATTCAATCCCCTATCTACATGCTACTGCACCAAAGCAGAAACTACAGGTAGAGAGACCAGAAAGGGGAACGACTACAACAGAGCTAGGCTTATATGGATGATACTGTGTACTTGGATACTGATTGGTCTGGGAGCATATCGGTCAAAGTGAGCTACGGGAGGTAGCCATGGTGGGGAAGGTTCGTCACTCACCGGGTGCAGCATCCGATTCGCCGCAACCGATAAATTGACGATCGACAGATACGCACATCGACCATCTATTTGGCATTGCAGAGACAGCGGGTGCAGCCTGCCACTCACCTGAAGCATAAACAGAAACGACGAAGTGTTAGCTTATTATTTATGTTATCATAAATTAGAATGCATTAAATTTTTAATGGTGAGCAGTGAATATAATAATTTTACGCGCATTAATAAAGTACAAAAGAAATTATATCAATAAGAAATTATAATATCAATGAGAAATTAAAAATATTATTAAAATATACGTAATAAATCGTTATTGATTGTTTATTTGCTATAATGATTAGACTAAAATTTACAACGTAAAATGTTGAAATCTTTTAAAACTATGAAAGGTCTCCATTTCTTTTCAGAGAGCGAGACCATCACTTAAGACCAACTGTTTGAGAGTTTGACTTAGGACATTTATATATACAACGTGTTAGGGAAGCGATGGGTCGGGCCGCGAATGCTAGTTCAGCTTCTTTTGTAATAGAATGAATGCACATGGTGCCTTGTCCGATCACATGCACGTTGAGTCTGAGTTTTGGTAGTGTTAGTATCTCGGGATATCAATAGTTCACGTTAAGAGTGAAAGGGTTAGTCTCATGGAGAATGAGAGAGAACTTTACATCACTACAATTCTATTTCATTTTGTTGCGTTTACACAATCAATATTAAATAACAGAATTAAGACAACAAAAATTGTTTAATTATAATAAACGATTTATTAAGACCGTATATGTGAATACACAACAAGTAAGAGTTTAATGCCTATTATGGTCTAAGCTGGATCTTAGATGCTTTTTTTTTTAAATAATTTCTATGTGAATAATAGTATGAATCAATGAATGTAATAATTATATCTATTCAAAAATATCTTACTTGATTATGTTACATGTGTAAGACGTAAGTAAACTGTAAGTTTTATATAACTACAGAATTTTTAAATGTGTAATATACAGAAGTTATTTTTGTGACATATGTATACATATTCTACTATATCTATCATAAATAATTACATTTTCCCAACTAAATTTTATCCCTTATTATATAAGGAGGAAATCAATATCTATAAAATATCACAGTGACTCTGGATAAACAAAACAATTGTCCAGAATTTACTTCGAATTCGCACAATTCTTGTTACTTGGAAATTGTTTACACACGCTTGTATCTCATTTGAGCCGCGCCGTTTGCTGTTCGGCCTAGAATTACTTCGCCCTTCCAAAAGTACGCAATGTTCTGAAACTGAGTCTGGCGTATCTAAGCATCCTTCCCGTGAGCATTTATCAGGATTTCCAAAGGAGAAACTAGAGTTTTTAAGCCACCATAAATTCTCATACTTAAAACTCGCAAAAACCAGAAACACGATTCTCGATATGGCTCTGCAAAACAACGTCGTGCGCTTTATGTAATTCGCTGAGACGCTTCTATTAAGAAGTAAAAATAACTTCAAAATTATAATTTTGTGAGTCTCACACACGACATAAGTTCACATCAGTATAGAATATATATCACACAGAAGTGAATGTAATCCTATTTTTCCCGTTCGAATAAATCTTAACCGGTTCTCTTTCTTCATACGATATCGGTGCGATCTATTTAATCAGATTACAGGAAACGTTCAAGAAATAAGCCGCAAAAGATAAAAAGGTTGCAGCTGGCTTTATATATGTATATATGTGTATACGAATATGTATATGCGCACATGCGTGTATTTTTGTGCGGATGCGTGTCTGGAAAAGAGAAAGACAAAAGGGTTGAGAAGGGGTGTGAGAGGGAGTGGAATTGAGCACGGAGCAGTTATTATCTATCGCTCTCGTTACCACAGGTTGCTCGTAAACCGGCCGCATCAAGGGGATGGGGCAAAGTGGGATGGAGTGTAGAAGCATAGGTAGATAGGTAGATACCAGTACTCATATCGTCGTCGTCATCGTCCCGTACTCGCATAGCACCAGGGGTGAAGCCCCACTCCGGGCTATACTCATTGGTTACCCCTGCAGAATATCACGCGGAGTGCGAACGGACGGCTGTGTCTAGGGGGCTGTTCGAAAATCTCGGTTTGCCATTCTCTACGCTTGGCCGATCGTGAATAAAAATCAAGCTTGACCCGCCTCTTTTTTTATACTGTTAAATTTTAATTATATGTAGGAACTACCCGAGTTATTTTTTAGCGCAATTATCATCTATTGATAATAGAACAAACGCGTAAATATTTAATTTTTTTTTAATATTTTCAAATTTATTCGAAGATAATATTATCAAGAATATATTTAAAAATATGCAGTTACATTAAAATGTGTTACTGTTTGAAACTTTTTCAGTCAAATTGGAGGTTATAATAATAATTATTATGTAAATACTCTTCAATTATTATTACGTCTTTTGTTAGTAAAGTTAATTGTTCGATATACAAATTATTCAGTTAATGTGGCAAATAAAATATTATAATAACAAAAAATAGTAAATTCCCATCCATCTTTAAGTTTGTCAGGTACACAGTCTCCTGAAAGATATATTAATTCGCACGCCAGCAGATATATAGAAACCGTAGCGTACAAAATATGCGATTTCTCAAGGGCAGAACAGGTACACCTATGGATGCATACATCGTCGAAGCTGTGGTTGACGGGCCAGTGGATAGCTCGGAGAGGGGTTTGGATTGAGATCGAGTCAGAATTTTTTACCAGGACGGCGTTGAACGAACGCGAGTGCGCGAAACCCCCGCGGAGCAACAGTGCGCTCGTCCCGCGACAGGGGGCAGCACTACCATTGCACTATACCGATATTGTGTAGCGTGTAGTTGCTACGAGCAGCCGCTGCACCAGGAACTCATAAATCTCCCGGGATATAGATGGCTCTAGTGTCGCGTGAGGTTGCAAGCTACCCCATGCAGGGTGCCGTGAAACGCCCTCCCATCCCTATCCTATCCCTTCACCCGGCCCACTTCATCGTTCCTCTCGCTCTCTCGTCGTCGCCCATCCATTCCATGACCGAATTACTGGAATCCCTCCTTCCGGACCGAAGGTGGACTTTTCGAAACGAACGATGCTCGTTCTTCAATACTAATCAAAATGCATGGATATTTCGAACTCGGTCTCGGTGCGCTTAAAGATTCATTAGTACTGAATAAAACAACTTTACCAGATTAAATAGAAACACTTTTAAATGATGAATTATTGGAAAATAAATAAGCTAGAAGCGCGCACGTCGGCATGTAAATTACAATATGTATTGTCTTCAAACACTTGGTTTCAAAAGTTTAGTATCGCTGACATCGACAGTCTAAAAATATGAACGTGCCATCATGTTTTCAACGATTGAGTATGGCCATTAAAGCAGAGTTGTATAATAAAGATAAAAAAAATAAAAAGAATAATGAGATAAGAATACAATTTTAAAAAAAATTCTTTTACAAAAGATTTTATTTACTAAAAATGTTATTGTAAAATAAAAAATTGAGAAAAAATTTGATGCGTGTATGAGTAGAGTGGCGAGAAGGGATAAATAAAAATGTTTGGCTTTTAATTTTTTCTTTGTGCCCCCTGCTGTATTTACACCGCAGATATAACCGAAATATTTGAAGAGAAATATTCCTGTTGTATCTTTTTTCACACCAATGAGATGATATTAAAGTAAAAAAATTGTTCTATATATTTTTTTGTATAATAATATACGCTTGACTTAACTATAAATATAAATAATTTGTTGGAAACCGTAATATTCGCAAATTTATATAAAATCTTAAATTTTAATAAAATGAAACTTAAATTCAACTGATTTGAAATATTAATGAATGACGAGAATATGCGAAAAAGAAAACTCAGAATATGTGAAAAAACTAAAAGTACGTCTTTAATAACAAGAAAGAATTATGTGTTGATATGACTTCAGTGCAGGAATAAAACAAGTATATGGAGTAGCTTGAAGGAAAAAGAGAGAGATGAAAGAAAGGAGAAAAAACAGAATAAACGGAAGATCCAGGGACCAAACAGCCAGTCAGCGAGCTAGCTAGCCAGGCAGCCAGCCAGTTAATCAGAGAAAGAAGAGAAGGCGACACCGATGATGAATCACTCGTTAGAAATGAGTGGGAGCGAAAGAGAAAAAGGGAAAAGAAAGAGCAATAAGAAAATATCCATGCAAAAAACGCACTACGTTGGAACGCACTAAAGCGAGTCGCTAACTGACTTATCTAGACATCAGAGTCTGCGACTCGTTCTCCTGACTTCGCGAGAACAGAGTTTCGAACATTTTAGACATTAACTGTAATAAAATTTAGAGGAGTCACTCATTAGTTAAAAGTATTTGCAATTAATGTGTACAAAAAATATATATACGTTCACAACATAAATAAATTAACAAACAAATGAGAATTAATATGTCATATACATAGCATGACATATATGCTTTAGGAATTCAGATGACACACGTTGATTAACAGTAAATGATCTGAAATAAAAATCACAAGATAGCATGATTGTTGGTAATTTTTCGAATTTTTGTAATAACAAGACGTGAAGCCAGTTAAATCATTGAAAACAATGTGTTACGAAAAGATAACGATCGAGAAGATAACCAATCGCCAACGAGAAAACTGAATTCTTCCCGTGGGCATGTCGGACAAATCCGAAGGGTCGACTTGCCGTCGCCGAGGAAATTGGGTTCGTCTTACGGACCTACAGAAGTGCGCAAGTAAAAGAAGTTCCAGTATCATCAAAGAATGTCTCAACGTCGCGCGTTTATACGCGCACACCGATAGGGCTTATACAGAAGTTGCGTTCGCTTGGTCATGGGTAATGGTTTTACGAGCGTCAAGGGTGATATAAAGAAAATGAAAAACACACCGACGCTGTTGCCAGCATGCACGGCGTATAACTAACTACGTTGCTACCATGTCCCCCTCCTTTCCGCATCTACTTCTTAAGTTTGTGTACAGCGAGGGCAAAACCCGCTGCTTCGAAATACCTTCCGCTTCGCAACTTCCAATGCAAAGCACGACAATTAATCGTGAACCCCCCATATTATCAAATCACATCATGATTATATTGCCTATAAATATACTTTACTTATTTAAC